ATAAAAACGGGCTGGCCAATGTGGAGAACTATGAAATTTGAGTGGTAGCCAGAAGACTGGAGAACAGTCCTTGGGCTTGGTGTATAGACTAGACTAAAGAGAGAAGAGGATATATAGGCCTAGGAGTAGGTAAGATTGGTTAACATACAATGGATGAGATGCGAGTAAGAGAGTGTTCCATCGTGAATTCGTGCTGTCGATAATTCTGATGTATGATATTCGGCGAACTGACCGGGCAAATTGGACTCGGCAATCTGGGATTCGACACACTGGGTTTTGACAATCTGGCCTAGATCTAATCCTCCATGATCTAATGCACAACGGGTAGGAACGATCCACTCCTAAGGACCAACCCGCATACCCACATCCTAACCTAATTCTGCATTGTGGCACGTCGAAATGCTTGTTTAAACTGTCTTACCCATTTAACCTTAATGACTTAACTCACCCAGAGCCCCTTAAAGAATGTCATAAACTAGGGTAATGCTATCTATCTGCATACGTTTAAAGATATAATGGTTTTCTTAACACGTTTGTGTGAGTAGATATTCTTACCGAGATAATAATAACTACGGTACCGTAATAGGCACTACGTGATTTTTTGACTATTCCCCTTTCGGTGCCGGCTTTATTACTAATATATACCGTGAATGAGAACTTTTCTCAATATGAGTTCTAACAACGAAATGCAGTTACATGTATTAGGCCTATATCCTTTCAAATTCTGTAAATTATTTGTCATTATTATTTCTCTCTTTCCTTCTCATGCAGTGCAGTATACTTCTGTATGTTTCATCCTTGTCTATTGTAGCAATACTATAACTTTATTATTAAGACTATCTATTTTACGTATAGGCTTATATTAACTGTTGGAAATTATGCATTGCAAAATTGGTTTTTGTCTTTGGTTTTCGTTATAGGCATACATTGTCTAAATGATTTCAACAGAAGCTTCTGTTCAAAACACTTTCTGAGAATCGTTAATCAAGAATTTGGCTCCATGGAATTGGCAATCACACATCGGTAAATGAGCGTGTGTGCAAATAGCAAAGAATAATACCGTTTGATGGTACAAGTAAAAATCTATAGCAATGATTTAGTAACGAGTGTGAATGAGCATGTTTACCATTAACCGTTTTAGGTATAATCTCGAGAGCAGCACTGGGGCAGTTGTTGGAAGAAAGACTAACTGATATCCTATGGATTGATGGCACGCCCACAATTTTATTTGTATAAGTATTTGACTTTGAATGTCACGTGGACATCATTAAACTAATTAAATTCTTATTACACCGAAATACATTGGTTTCGGATTTCTTTCGTACAGTATTAATATGTTTACTTACGACTTAATACCATGATAAATCTGTTAATGTATTCTATTAATATATTTTATGTTTGGCGGTCGTATGGTGTTTCATCAGGAATTCGGCAAACTATTATTCAGAAGGCATGAAGGTTTCCTTGTACTAAGGCTCTGGCCTACGGGTAGTTTTTTTTTTCCCCAAAATAAGCGGAGACAACGTCAACTCAGTTATGTTTGGCAAGCCGATGCAATGTATAATGTTTGATGACAATGTAAAGTAATATAATCCTATAATTAGGCCTATATATAAATGTTATACAGAGTACCACAGTCGTGTCGTCACGACGCCAGGCGGTGCTCTCTTGTCAACAGACGTAGGTTACTGTTCATTATATCATAGGTTCTAATATTTTACCATCAAAATGTACTAAAAACACAAAAGCTCGCATTATATTATTATCGATCACACATTTATTCATCAATTAAAATTTACAAAGAAAAAGTAAGATACATCTTAATAATACGTTTGAATTAGGATTAATGGTTTGTCAGTAAAGAAAATGGCGTCGTTGAACGCTTTTTGCAACATAGCAACGGACGGACGTGGACGTAACACTGTAGTACTCTATAGGAAGATGTGATTGCTAGTGTTAACAAGTTTCCCTATTCGGGACGCCTTTACCAGACCACTAGGCTGCGTTTGCAATGCAAATCCACTTTGAAGCAACTGATTTTCAAACTGCCCATTCGTAATGGAATAGCGCTAGCTATTGATTTACAGAAAATTATCATTATAAGGCCCTGTCTCTTATACACATCTAGATGTGTATAAGAGACAGTATATACACCGATTGAACATAGGCCTATATAAACAAATACGTCTCATTATAATATGAATTGGTATTGTTGTTTGAATTATGCCAAAGCCTCTTTACAAGTAACATTATCTCCTGATCATTAGATTAAATACATATTATGGAACATTATTTTTATCTCCCTAAGGAACATCCGACGTAGCAGGGGTAATTATCCTGTTAGAAAAGAGATAAAAGTTAGTTAGAGTTACATCGAAGGGTTCGAACCTTCAACTTAGTTTTTAAAGCCCGAGAATGGCAACCACTACATGGAGCTATTTTAAAGTTGGTAGAACACACTCTTTTTCGGAATATAAGAGAAAAAGTCATGTGTGTCGCCAGGTGACCTCCGTAACGGATGGTTTCAGCCGACTATATACAGTGTAAGCCGTAAAGCTAACATGTGTAAGCCGTCAAGCTAACATGTGTCGTGATTCTTTGGCTAACACTATAACAACTCCCTGGGCTAAGTTTCTATTTCATGCTCAACAGTTGGTATTCCGATCAAGGAATCCAAAACCGTGGCCCCTACAGCAGTTATAACCATATTTGGCATTGAGGTAGTTCCTTGATGGAGTACAGTTGCCCCTACCTAAGATAGACAAAGTCAAGTCTAAACTCACGTATTTTCTATGGCTAAATGTACAGTTACGTGAAATGCAGTCGTTGATAGAAGTGCTTAACTTTGCTTGTTCTGTAGTTGTTCCCGGGAGAACCTTCCTTCGTCGCCTTATAAACCTCAGACACCCATCTTTCTATATTAGATTGAAAAAAGAAGTTAAAGCGGATCTTGTCATGTGACTTCACTTCATTGACAACTTTAATGGGAAGGCGTTGATTCTTGAGGAGTCTTGGAGTCTTTCGTCAACATTTCGACTTTTCACTGATGCGTCTGGTTCTTTAGATGTGCTGCTGTTTTCGGCACACATTGGTTTGCTCTAGCGTTCGCCCGAGGAATTCAACCACCACCATATTGCCCAAAAAGAACTATTTCCTATAGTGCTCGCTATCGAGACCTGTGCCCGACCTTAAATCAGCAAGCGTATACCTCTTCAGGTCCGACAATCAGGCTGTCGTGACGATTATAAATAAGATGACAGCAACAGACCCCACTCTCTTATACTATTACGCCGGTTAGTGCTGTCCTGTTTACGATTTAATATTCTTTTTAAGGTTAATACCCAGAAGGGGATTGGCGGATCTGCTGTTCAGATTTCGTTTCGGGAAAGCCAAGGCGTTGTTCCCAACAATTGACCCTGTTCAGACACCAGTACGTGGCACTCACGTCCATATCTAAACCCATGTTATCCTATATGTCGAGCATTTGGCTCCATATAATTCCCCGTTCGTCACATGTCCATATTTCTCCCGCTTCCCTCATTGTTGTCTGGGCTTTCGGCGTATTTCATCCACTTTTAAGCGAATACCTATCTATATACTACGGTATTGTGTTAATTATGTATTGTACAATTTTAATTAAATTTATGTTATATATTTTGTATGCATTATGTCATATAAACTTTGGGGGGTCAGCCAATATTTAACACAACGTATATATTTTGTAATTTCTGTAATTTTTATTTTGTATGTATCTTTCATTTATTCACCATAAAAATGACAATTTTATCCGATTAATGTGTATTGCGTTGTTTGCTTGTGTGGCTTAGTGGGTTCTGTGTTGGAGAAGCCTTGGGACACAAAAACATTGCGATCTTATAATCGCCAGGCCCAGCTCCACTTCCATGTCTAGACCACGTTAAACCTCGCACGTTTCTGCATTAAAAAAATGATAGTTATGTTTTCCTTGAGCGCCTGGGCAAATACTTTAGTCTGCTCATGTAAATAATAAGTCAAGAGTATCACTCTGTCATGTTGACATTTATCTGCCGAGAAGTTCTAAATATATTGACATGAAAAGGCTATCGGTAGGCCTACTTATTAGATTACGTTTACCTAGGAAAACCTCTAAAAAAAACCCTAAATCTCTCCCAGTAAATATTTAGTTTTGTTGCAATGACTAGAATGATAAATACCGTAGATCAACTAGTACAGTATAATTTAAATGACCAAACGATCAACGCATTCCCCTTTGATTAAAAGTTTTTTAATCATTATATAGGCCTATCATTGCAAATATGTAACCGTCTGTATTCTGTATTCATTAATTTATAGACATGAGCCATGTTATCCTACACCATACTGCCACTCACGAAACTATTCCATCATACCAGTGTAAGCTAATAAACAAACAATAATAATAACAACAACAACAACAATAATAATAATAATAACAATAATAATAATAATAATAATAATAATAATAATAACAATAATACTAATACTACTACTACTACTAATAATAATAATAATATTATTATTATTAGTAATGATAATAAAAAATAATAATAACAATGCCAACAATAAATAATAATAATGATAGTATTAATAATAATAATAATGAGGGTAATGATGATAATAATAATAAGGATTATGCCGATGATTTAGATAATAATGATGAGGATAATAATAATATTATTACAGTTATTTAGTTTATATTATTAGTATTAATATAATACTATACATCATGTATAAAAGTATTTTATTATAATTGGTATTTGGTGAAATACAGCATAATGACATAGACCTAATATCTTAGTATTAGATGGTTAATTTATTAATATATCCATTTGTACAAAAACTAATTAGAGTTCATGGCTATATCTATAGTTCCGATTCCGAGTAGCCAATGAAACGGCTTCATAAAAACGTCATTACATTATGAACATCCATATACACGCAGGGACTGTGTAAACTTACTTCAATTCAAACAGATAGTTACCACAGGGAGTCAGTGAATATACAGCCAGTTAGTGAGCTTTACTAGATAATACAGTGCTGTATAAAGAAATCAATTCATATTAACCGTTGTCAATCGATAAAGTAAACCGCCTGGAAAAGACGCTACATACATACTTGTATGTTATCAAATCTTCTGTATACGCAAAGATTTCATTCATTTCGACAATACAGATACATATATCGGGTTAATAGTCGGTGAGTTAAAAGTTGCATTGTGCTTTTTGTAGTTGCGTAAGTTGGAGATTAATTATGTGAATGTATATGTGTGTTTATGTGTATTGTGTATGCATATGCATTATTTACAACGTATGCGTGTATATGCTTTGCATGTACATAATTTTTGTTTCAACGACTGATATATTTACACGTGATATATATATATATATCTGTCTCTTATACACATCTAGATGTGTATAAGAAGATATAAGAGAGAGGGGAGGGGGAGGGTGGGGGAGGGGCTCTTAACAAATTTGGTTGCTATAGATTTGCTACCACTGCACGGGACGAATACAATTTAAAGTTTGTGGAGTCCATATCCACCCCATACCCACCATGGTTTTGTGAACAACTTTTTTTGGCACAAGATTTAAAGTTAGCATGGTGATAGAGTCTATAACCTCCTCTGAGGTGAGTATTTTTTCACATTTTGGAATGTGGCACCTCTGGATGCTATGGAAAAGCACTGCCTGACAAACCTGTAGAGCCTCTAACCTCTCCGTCCAACATCGGCAGACACAAGATTAAAGTTAGTGGGGAATTCTTACCCACCTCAGCCCCACCATGGTTGGGGCTGAGGTGAGCAAAATTTTAATACCTATAATAATTACTTAAATAAGGATTGTCTAAAAGGTTGAAATGTACACTATAGGTAATACAAAAACATGCGCATGACACAGTTTTGTTTTGAATATAAGATTAAAAAGACAACGTGATGCGAACATTAATAATACTGTAATTCCACTTTTCTTCAGTTTTCTTCTTTCATTCGTTTAAGATGACTGCGCCACGTGTGCTGCAACTGATGTAAAAATGAAATGTCAAATAACTATTATTATTATTATTATTATTATTATTATTATTATTATTATTATTATTATTATTATTATTATTATTATTATTATTATTATACCGTTTTTGTATTCGAGGCAAATATCATGAATTATAGGCCAATTTAATATCACTGTATGCGGTACCGTATGTAATTTTGTTAAATGTCACATATTGTTGCAGCGATAATGCAGGTAAACATAACCTTTACTTATGTCAACAATAATAATCTCAAATACCGATTTTTCCTATTGTTATTCTAAATATAATTGCATCGTACATTATATATTTTCAAAACACATTGTATATGTGTACTTGTATACTTCCTTATTTCTATTCACTTATTCAATTATTAGACCAATATTATAAATATTGGATATAATGTTAATTAAATATTAATAAGGAACCAACAAAATCTAGGAGACTCAAATTAATACAATTTATACGGAACTTGTCATTATGTTATTATTGTCGTCATATGTCATATGTTATCATTAGTTTTTATATTATGCCTTTTATATTGTTATTATTTAATATTATTTTTATTATTGTTAGGCCCCTACATGGATGTAAACGAAAAATGAATAACAAAGGCAACAATTTAAAACACTTTGAAAGTGGATTTCATGATAACATATTTTTGTGAATGAAACAACCTGTCCAGGGGGAATGCCCTAACTAATCCATGCGTATAATTCTATTGATGATTTGAACACATGTGAACAAAACGTGTTATCAAATGAAAATGTCGGAAGCATTTTCTAGGACCAAATTCTAATGCCAATCACAGATACCCCAGCGCGCAATAGGCCTACTGCATGTAGAGAACGAAGACTCGAAAATGTAGGCCTACTACGCTTCAGATGTCTGCCGTATCTTAAAGAGTAGGTTAAAATTTAAATTTTCTTGGCTCATTTTGGGTTTTATAATCAGGTTTGTGTTTAATAGGTTTTATTTGTGCGTGAGTGTTTACGTTGTGCGTGTGTTGTACGATCCCAGTCAGCCTTGTATATACTTGATTGTTGGAGAATGTAGAGTAGGCCTAGAAGTTATGACAAAGTTGAGTCTATCAATACGCTTTAGCTATTTTTCCAAATTTAGGAAGTCATATCAATATATTATAGAGTAGATACGGTCTATGAAGCAATTATACGAAGATGCAGGGCACACGGTCTTCTTGGAGACTGGCGAAAGCATCAAATTATTAAAACGGGTTAATAAAACAACAGCACAAATAGATTAACAGGTCCATAGAAAATGACATTTTTCTCAAGCATTCAATGGTGATATTAAGAAAACCAGAAAACCAATCATAAACATTAGTGTCGTCGTCGACTTGAATTTTATAATTAAGGAATCTGAGATATCTACGGTACCATAGGGAGGTGCTATACATATTTTGCACGGTTTAAGATTCTTCTGTACATTCTCGCTCGAGATAGGATGCGCTCAGTTTCCTAATACTCCATAAAATGATCAGACAACCTTTATTGTCGTAACACAAAGAGGCTGTCATGACAATATTTTATCTTTGTTTTAGTAGCTAGAACTTTTTTTACCGAAAAAGATGACAATTGCATGTCATGCATCTCAACTAAATCATTAGTCTACCAGAGTCTACTATATGACCGGATCTCAGCATCTATGTTTTTTTATCATTTTTTAAATAAAAAATCGCCGATTGTTGTTAATTTTACAGTGTTAATGCCTGTTTATACTTCAACGATAACGATAAAAAAGCTAAAAAGCAATCAGTTCATATAGAAAATAAAAGAAATAAGAAAAGTTTTTACACTAGAACGATTCGATAACAACTTATCAGTTAGGCCTGCGATAACAACATAATTTGACAAATCAAATCAGATGACGGTCATCATCAAGAAAAAACATTAAAATCGTTGTAGTAGCAACGATTTTATCGTTTGTCCATGATTATGACGTCATCTGATTTGATTTTTTTTAAATAATTTGTTACTGCATACACGATAAATCGGTATAGAATCGTCCTAGTGTAAAAACTTCTCTTATTTCTTTTGTTTGCTATATGAACAATCGCTTTTTAGCATTTTTATCGTTATCGTTGAAGTGTAAACAGGCCTTAAAGAGTCACATTTGGGGACCTTTTGTCGTTTTTCAGCTCCACACTCACACTAATTAATTAATTGTTAATTACACATAGTAATCACTCACACGAACACTACTAACAATATTTTTGCTAATAAATGTATGGTAGTCGCAGCAGGTCTATCAAATAATTGCAACACAGCATCAGCTGAATAATATGATGAGGCCACAATTAACAGTTGATTTATCATTGAATAATTGAGCTCTTGGTTATGGCTAGCCAGGAATCTTCCCCGTATCAAATGACTTGTACTATACTATGGCCTCGATAGTATATCACTAACTAATTTTAATTGCAGCGAATTAACAAACATATCCTAGTGACAGAATGAGAAAAAAAAATCGATGCTACCATAAGTGTGCGAGTTAACAAATTTGAATAGCTAAAAAAGTACCGGTAAGTAAAGCAATATTATAGATCCGAATGCGGGTGTTTGTCATGGCAACGAACGATCTCGGGACATTAAAGGATATGACATGGTATTAGCTATGTTCCCACACACGGCAGCTAACGGTTAGCAGGATCCGGATCCTGCTAACCGTTAGCTGCCGTGTGTCATGCGAGAAAATCCCGATCCGGATACCAACAATATGATGATCGAATCACTGGCCAATAAGAAACTGGAAATTGTAAACGCGTACGTGTGATTGGTTGATGATAGAAACGCCCTTAACTTGCTAACCGATAGCGCTTGCTAACCGTTAGCGTATCCGGGTACCGCTAACCGATCGGGCGTTCTCACGCAGGTGCTAACGGTTAGCGCTAACGGTTAGCTCCCGATCCGGATACTAGGGCTCTCGTGAGAACCAGAGATTGACATTCTACGGGCCGCGTGCCCCTGTAGTTCGCTGATCGTCACAAAAACCATAGCAACCAAACCATAGCCTGTGACGAAATACCCACGCGCGTGTCAGTTGTCATGATAATCGCTCGTCGTGTAGTGGTTACCGTACTCGCGCGAATAAGCGCCCCTATCGAATAAGCGCCCCACATAACGAGAAATTTCCTTAAGCGCCCCGTTTGAATAAGCGCCCCCTTCTAATTTTAATAAATGCCCCCTCAATAACCCAATCAATCCTGGGACTGTGGATGTTGGCATGATTTGAGGTGTGGAGTGGAATCACATTCTCCTTTAGTCAATATCAAAGTGAGGATATTTATCTTTGACAGAATGATGAGAGCTCCCTGGACAGACAGTATATTCCCAACTTTCATCTTCGTTCATTTGTCTATAGCCTAGTCCTATTACTCCTTTTCCGACAATTAGCACTTTTAACACATTCTCATCTAAGTTTTCAAGAAAACCTGCAATGATCATGCCGTCCTGCTATTCTCAATCGACCGATGGCGAACAAGCTAACCACCACCACTAATTTCATCTGCTATTCTGCTGTTATGTAATACTGTACTCACAACAATCTTGTCATGACAAGCCATGCTCTCTGGACGATTATCTTTTCCGCCGCAGCATCATTCGTAATTTGCGGTTTCCGGATGTCCTTATTTAATCGTTTTTCATTCAAAATGTGCCTCTTGGATTTAATAAGTTCTCATAAGAACCCCTCGATTTTCATCTATTTCCATAAGCGCCCCCTCAATTTTCACTCTGTTTTTATAAGCGCCCCGTTCGAATAAGCGCCCCGTTTGAATAAGCGCCCCTCAAAAAGTGCAAAAAATATTTTAAGCGCCCGGGCGCTTATTCGCGCGAGTACGGTACTCTGCTGAGGTCTAATGAATTTTTCATTAACATTAGACTGCAATTTCGTTATTTCAATTCAACACCAATTTTACGGATGAGGTGGTGTCCGGAGGTTCATGAGACTCACTTGGCAGAAAAAAAAAAAAAATTCTGTATTAACTTAAATGTCCGTTTTGTGCACCTTGTCAAAATCACAGTCTAATTTTATATAAGAAAATAATTTTTTTTTTTCTATCGTAAATTTTCATTTGCTATAAATTTTCATTTCACAAAATCAAATTGTAGTTTATAGATACACTTTAGCTGGTCAAACGAAATCAGATGTAACAGACATTGCGAAGTACCCAAAATTAATAAAATAGTAACTAACACCATAAAACGTATGGCACGCATAGACTAATAGTTGACGGTTGTACTCGCAACCATCTCGCAACTAGGTGGATTGTCGATGCCACAGTAAAGATCAGAGGGCTGTTACGCACGCGCTATGTTCGCAAGCGGAGATGTGCGTCCTTTTGTTGAATTGCCTTGATTTTATTTTATCATGGAGGTATTGATTTTATCAATGTGTTTTCTTTAAGCGAATGTAAAAAATGAATATATTCTGGGTTTATTGGATTTATAAACTCCCCCGTTTAATTGGAAAACATTTATTATTTTTGATTTTTTGATTAACCATTACTGATACCGTATAGTTTATGTAAATTATAGAAGGCCTACATATCTTAAATAGAGGTCGGAGCGTGCAATGGAATAAATAGAATGGAACAGAAATATCATAGTATGTAATTGAACTAAATTTCACGAATGACGCAATTATATCATGGACTTTTTGTTATTAAAGACGTAATTGTATGTAACGTGAGGCCACCAATGAAATGACATGTCTTATTTTTGTGCTCAAAATTTGATATACCTCGTTATCAACATGATTTGCAATTATCAGCTGGTAGAAAACAGTAAGTTTGTTCCTTGAAGAAAATGAATAGGCCTAAGCACAAAACAGCCATGTCTGTTACGTTGCTCATAACAGAATAAAATGCCCTCGACTTTGGGTCCATGTTTTGCTTATTATGAAAATCTAATTTAAGAATTCAACTTCTTGACAACAGTAGTGATATATGATAGGAAATCAGTCGAATCTCCACTAGGTTTAATAACATTAGTTGATGTTAACAGATGTATGTTAATAAAATTTATTATTCAACATATTGTTAATACTGCGGTGCTGACGTTATGATTGATTTATTATATTCCTAATTAATGTCTAAGGTACTGTCAACAGAGCGGTCAATTCCTCATGTCATACTCTTGTGTCTATGTGACTCACTTTAGGGTTTCCTGGAAGCTCTTGTAAGACGTAGAAGAGACAATTTATTCCATAATTTAGTGGTTCGTGGGATATTTCAAAGTAACAATTATTAAAGAATATACATGACGTGGGTGTTGACACTACGTAACCCGGACTTCAAACCCCGGATACAAACCGTGCATACAGACCTCGAAAGCTGGATATATTTGAACTTTTTGCAACAATAATAACGCGCAGTTCTCGTATGGCCAGACGTTTCGGCAGTCTCCCTTTTCGAATGAAACAGTATGTTGATAAAATTCATTCACATGCAAGAATGATTTAGCTCCAAGGCGATTTTCCCACTTAGACTTCTTCTGTTCCGACAGATTCCAGTTTTATTAGTGTCATTACAGATTACAGAAACGAACTCCGAAGCATAAAAAATCGTACAAAATCTGATTCAGCCTTGGTACCGTATTATGTTTCCATAGATTAGTACTTGTATTAATGTAGGTGATATCGATAATGTTAATTAAAGATATCGAATGATTTGGCGTTAATTACACATAGTAATCACTTACTTATGAATAATAAATCGATACTGATATTATACATTTCGCCAGGGAATAGAAAACGTTTTATTGTATACAATTTTGGTTGACACACTGGTGAGTGGTATTAATCATAAGAAGCCTTATTTTGTGTATTGCATTCATGTTGAAATAATTTGTTTAACAGGGTGGCAGGATCAATGTATTTTTTCTTGAAAACTCAGATGCTGTCTCTTATACACATCTAGATGTTCATCTGCCTGCACTTTATCACAAAACATAAATCCATTTCCCTGATGTTTCTAGCAATCAAAATAGAGCATGAATATGCTAATTAGGTAGCTTCGAACCAAACAACAAACACATCGCGTTTCACGTAAAAAAACGAGAAAACAAAGTTCGAAAGCTTTCTAAATCAGCTTTTTTGTAAGAAGATGAAATGTTTTAATCTTGATATTTAGGACTACCATTATTAAATGTTATTTTCCATAGGCCTCTTTTGTATTCCAATTTATATGTTTATAATTTAGCTGACTCTGAGAGTCTCACTACGTGCAGAATATGGCGCACTGATATCCCATGTAGGCACAACAAGCGAGTGAGC